GATACTTTTTAATATATTTGATCTATGAAATACCAGTTCCAAAGCCATTGTTCCCAGTTTGTAAATGAGAATTAAAATCCCATCAGTGGTATTGTAGGACTGATCTCCAGTCTTGTACATTACATCTTGTACACATTACACCTTGTAATGTGAGAGTTGGAACAGGTTTTCAAAACCAAAATCAAACCTGTGGCCATCGAAGTCAATTCTGACTCACTGTGACCCTGCAGGACAAAGGAGAACTGCTCCATAGGGTTTCCAAGATGAATTTTTAAGGAAACACACTACCCCATCTTTCTTCCATGCAGTAGCTAGAGGGTCTGAACCATTGGCCTTTTAGTTAGCAGCTGAGTCATTTAATCAGTGTGCCACCAGGGCTCCTTTTGAAGAGAGTTTAGTGAGTAACTGCAGGGTCAGTAGTTCAAATCCACCAATTGTTCCATGAGAGAAAGATGAGGCTTTCTGCTCCCACAAAGATTTACAGCCTCAGAAAGCCTATACGGGCTTGCTATGCACCAGAACCACCTCAACTCTGGTATTCAACAATAATTAATTCAACCTGTCATTTAACAGAAGAAACGGAGAGCTCACAGTGATGAAAAGATCGGTCCAAAATCACAGAGCTAGTGTAACACAAAGACAAAGCTTGAAACAACAAATCAATTTAAAGATATTAACCATAGTGACATTAAAAACCACTGCAACATACATGAAAGTCAAAAAGTATTGCTACAAATCATAGAACCCTTTCTTTTAAAAATTAAAATTTGAAGCTGTTGTTTTTCAACATATCCTCCATCTACACTTCTGAAGGTAATGGTTCCATTTCTCTAACACTTTCCCCAAAGAATTCTGCACTCTTCGATTTACGCCATGTCAAAATGGCAGTGTGGCCATCCTTGAGGGACTCGGATCATGTTCTTTAGAAATGTTCTTTGAGTCTGAGGAACAGAAAGAAGTCTACAGGGGCAAGACCCGGGTTGTAGAATGCATGGGGGAAGGTTTCCCAACAAGATTCTCAGGACAGCCCTTGCTACCCTCAAAAAATGAACAGGTGTATTACTGCTATGGAAAAGAATTCCTCCATGCAACTTTCTCAGTAATGCAGTTTTCTGTTTTCTTAAAATTTCTTCATAATAAGGCCGCCTGACTGTCCTGTGCCCTTTAAGAAAATCTATCAAGATTACTCCTTGGTAATCCCCAAAAATAGTTGCCAGAACCTTCTGCACTGACCTTTCTGCTTTGAATTTAACTCACCCAGCAAATTCTCTCAGAGGCCACTGTTCTGATTACTTTTTGGATCATATTGGTAAATCCAAGACTCATCCGCAGTTACAATTTGTTCCATAAAATTATCTTCATTAGCTTCTATCTTGCTTAAAGGGAAGATGGAAAGATTAGCTCTTTGAGCTAACTGATCTTTGCACAATGCCTTTTTTTTTGGTATCCTGTTTTTTGAAGGCACCCTAACAACACTAAGACAAGTGTATTGCTGAACTTGTCTGCAGCCATCCACCAATTGTGTGTGTGTTTAAACATATTTTTATTTTACTTAGAATAAATAAAATATGGAATAAACCATGTATGCATGAACTGGAACTCTAGTAGTGATACTTTAAAAATAAATGCACATTGTCTAAGATTTGTCCATTTAAATTTATTCATGGGTACCTACAATATATAGACTTTAGGAAAATAAATTTCTATAGCCTCTTGCATACCTATATAAAGAAAATATCTGAAAAAAATCAATTGTTTCAATTCTTCCTTGGATGTCATAATAAGAAAAAGTATATACATGTGAGTTGGTAACTTTCCTATTACTTATGAACATGATTTTATCATTTTTTGGTGGCAGTTAAACTGGAGTCCAAAAGCAATTTCCTTTGTATTTGTTTTGCTCATCTTCCTTAGTTAAGATAAACCAGGAAGACAAAACAAAGAAAAGCGCTACTACATATTAGTTTTCAAATAAGGAAGCAAAATACTCTCTTGTAGTCTCTTCTTCAAAGCGAAATCAATACATATGTGTATGTATATATGTGAAATAATTCTAACAAATTTTTAATCATGGTCATAGGTGCTTTATGTGATATTCACAGTACTATTCTTCCAAAGTATTTACAAGTATACTCCATCAGTATTTGTTTATAGTGTGGTGCTATAGGATAAGTACTGGACCACAAACACAAGGTCAGTTTGAACTGCAAGTTCGGTGGTTCAAACTCAACAGCTGCACCTCAGAAACAATATACAGGGCTGCTATAAGTCAGAACCAACTTGACAGCACTTAACAACAACAACAACATGCCTAAAACTTTGCTAGTCACCGAGGCATAACATGGGTACAAAAGGAATAAGGTGGAGTCTGTGCCCTTAAAAATCTGATAATCCAATTGGGAAAACATGAAAAGCTAATTTTTCTAGAACTTTTCTTTATACAGCTGAGCAGGTAGAGAGACCACTGAGCAGGTAGAGTGGAGTAGAGTAGGCAAGGAAGTTTCATGGCAAAGCTGTTCCCAAGTAAAACTAAAGAATTGGGGGGGGG